ACAGCGACAGCGCGACTCCTGAGTGTCAAGGGCGCGGCGTTTGAATAAATTACGAGGAAGTCCCGAGCGAGAGAGCGAGTCCTGTATAACTTGTGAGAAAGTCCCGCGCGAGAGCGCGACTTTGGAATAAATTGTGTGGAAATATGTCCGCGGGAGCCGTTGTTGTCGAATTTCTGTGCCCAACACCGCAATTTGGTGACACCAAACTTGCCCTTTATAAAAACAGGGTGCGCGCCCCGAGGGGGGGGGGGGGGAATTTCAATTTAAAAACACGGATTATCCGTGGGAGGGATCAACCAGAATTACGGTTTAGAATGTTAGTTCAATTAGTTAAAACCCGTTCGCTCCAATCTGCTCGCGGGCCATTCAACACGTATATCCAAAACCCTCGGTACCCACACTCTCTGTCTTCGATCGTACCCCCCTGGTGGTATATCTTCCGTGCCTGCCACGTGCATTCAGTGTAACCATGAAACAAAGTAAGGGAGGACGGGTGGAAGGGGGAGGGAGAAGGATGGAGCACGAGAGAAATGAGCAGGAGGGGGCTAGGAGCAGGAAACACGTGGTAGCACCAGGTGGGCAAATTGGGCGGGCAGATCCTAGCGGAAAGGTCGGGAAGGCGGCCCAAGGCGGCTAGGTCGAGCAGGCGGGTTGCTGAAGCGTGGGTCCTACATGAAGCGCGAAGAAGTCTCGAGCGATAGCGCGATTCCCAAGTAAATCGTGAGAAAAGGCACAGCGACAGCATGATTTCTGAGTGTCGATGGCGCGGCGTCTGAACAAATTGCAAGGAGTGCCCACGCAACAGCGCGATTCCCGCATAAATTGTGAGAAAGTCCCGCGCGAGAGCATGATTTTGGAATGGATAATGGAAGATTAGGCGAAAGCCGTTGTTGCTGTAAGTCGGGGCGCCAACCACACAGTTTGAGCAGGAACCGAATGCCTAATTTTAAAAAACGGGTGTGAGCCCCGAGGGGGGCAATTCAATTGAAAAGCACAGCGTGCATCTGTGAAAGGTCAACAATACTTACTTCTCAAAAATGGAAGGACAACAACAGTAACAACAACAACAACAACAACAGCAACGACGACAACAACAGCAACAACAACAGCAGCAGCAGCAACAACAACACCACCACCACCACCAACAACAACAACGACGACGACGACGACGACGACGACGACAACAACAACAACAACAACAGCCGTAACCATCATCATCACCACCATCAGAATCATCAGATTAAGGTTGATCGCTCTTATATGCTCGTGTGCCAATCAACACGTACATCACAAACCCTCGATACCCACCCTCTTCGTCTTCGATCCTACCCGTTATGTCTGTCCTACATGCAGCGTGTATTTCGCGTAGCCCCTAAGGCAGAAGAAGAGAGAACGGACGGAAGGAAGGGACAAGGGGGAGGGAGGAGGATGCAGCACGAGAGAGAGTAGCAGGGGTGGCTAGGAGCAAGAAACACGTGGCAGAACCAGGCGGGCAGATCGGGCGGGCAGACCCTGGCGGGCGGGTCAGGCAGGTGGGCCCAGGCGAGCAGGTCAGGCAGGCGGGTTGCTGAAGCGTGCGTCCTGCATAAATCACGAGGAAAGCCGGAGCGATAGCGCGATTCCCAAGAAAATCGTGAGAAATCCACAGCGACACTGTGATTCCTGAGCGTCGAGGGCGCGGCGCTTGGATAAATTGCGAGGGTGTCCCACGCGAGGGCGCGATTCCTGCATCACGTGTGAGGAAGTCCAGCGCGAGAGCGCGATTTGGGAAGAAATTGTTAGGAGGTATCAAGCGGGAGCCGTTGTTGCTGCACTTCGGTTGCCAGAGGCCCAAAGGTGCGAACTCCGGGATGGGCACTTCAATTGGAGGAGATTTTTTGTTTCGATTGGGGGAGATGTGAATGAAGCGGGACCGCTGTTTTTGTGTTGGGGGGCCAGGGGCCCAGTTTATCCCTCAAGACTCTCCCTGGTAAAGAACAGGGTGCGAGCCCCGGGAGGTGCACTTCAATTAGAAGAGTACAATGTGCGCTGGAGCGGGGGGATCAGCAATGAAAGTGAACACTCAGAAACCACAGCAACAACAACAACAACAACAACAACAACGGCAGCAACAGCAACATCAACAGCAACAACAGTAGCATAAGCAACAACAATCAGTTTAAGACTGTTCGCTCTCATCTGCTAGCGTGCCACTCAAGACGTAGATCACAAACCTCGATACCCACCCTCTTCGTCTGCGATCGTATCCACTTTGGGGCCTATCTTTCTTACCTGCAACGTACATTTCGTGCAGCACAAAAGGCAGGGGAAGGAGAGGACAGATGAAAGGAAGGGACAAGAGGGAGCGAGGAGGATGCAGCACGAGAGAGAGTAGCAGGAGGGGGGCCAGGAGCAGAAAACACGAGGCAGAACCAGACGGGCAGATTGGGCGGGTAGACCAGAACAGGCGGGCCCAAGCGGCCAGGTCGAGGAGGCGGGTTGCTGAAGCGCGCGCCCTGCATGAATCGCGAGGAAGCCTTGAGCGACAGCGCGATTCCAAAATAAATCTCGTGAGGGAATCCAAAGCGAGAGCGTGATTCCTGCATGTGTGGAGGGCGCGCCTGAATCAATTGCAGGGTAGTCCCAAACGCCCAAGCGACAGCGCGATTCTTGAGCGTCGACGGCGCGACGCCTGAATAAATTGCAAAAAAAATATAAGGCGAGAGCGCGATTCTTCGATACATTGCAAGAAAGTACTTAGCGAGAGCACCATTCTTCAATAAATTGCAAGGAGGTATCAGGCGGGAGCCGTTTTTGTTGTTGTAGACAATGAGCCAGAGGCACAGATTGAGCAGGAAGGTTTTCCCAAATAAAACACAGCGAGCCCCGGGAGGGGCACTTCCGTTGAGAAATCACGCATGTTACGCGAATGCGTGAGTCCTGCATAATTCGCCTGGGGGTCTCGTGCGAGAGCGCGATTCCCAAGAAAATTATAACAAAGTCCCAGGCGAGAGAGCGATTCCTGAATGGCGAGGGCGTGGCGCCTGAACAAATTGCAAAAAAACTCCTCAGCGAGAGCCCAATTCCTGAGTAAATTGCGCGGAAATGTCAAGCAGGAGCGGTTGTTATTGTGAACCGGGGGCCATGGGCGCAGTTTGAGGAGGAAGACTTTCCCTGATAAAATACAGGGTGCGAGCCCCGGGAGGGGTACTTCCATTGAAAAACAAATATGGAACGAAAATTCAACAGCAACAACAACAACAACAACAAAAATCATTTTAAGACTGTTCGCTCTTATCTGCTCGAGTGTCCAATAACGCATATTTCCCAAACCCTCGATCCCCGCCCTCTTCGTTTTCGATCGAACCCCTCTTGGGGGGTATAACTTTCTTCCCTGCAGGCCGGGCCCCGGCAAGCGGCGGGGCGGCCGCGGACCGTCGGCATGGCCAGCGGCAGCGCTGATCGGCGGGGCGGCCGCGGACCGTCGACCCGACCCCAAGAGGGACGGACAGGGGACCGACCACGACGACGACGACGACGGCGACGACGACGACGACGACGTCGACGACGACGGCGACGACGACGACGACGACGACGACGGCGACGACGACGAAGACGACGAGCGAAAGCGAGAGCGAGAGAGAACGACAACAGGGCCAAAAGGACACGAAGTAGGCAACGAAGGGCGACAGCGGGGACACGAAGGGAATGCATATAGGGCCACGAAGAGCGCGAACGAGCGGGGGCCACGAAGGGCAGATAATGCGGGGCCACAGAAGGCAACGATGGGGCCACTGAGGGTAGCAACTGGGCCACGTAGGACAGTGAGGGGGCCACAGACGGCGATAGCGGGGCCACGAAGGGCATGCACATGAACGGGCGCGGCGCGAACGAGCGGGGGCCACGAAGGGCATACGTATACTGGGCCGCGGTGGGCAAGGACGGGGCCACTGAGGGCAGCAACGGGGCCACGAAGGGCAGCGAGGGGGCCACGAAGGGCTGCAACGGGGCCACGAAACAAAGCGAGGGGGCCACGAAGGGCTGCAACGGGGCCACGAAGGGCAGCGAGGAGGCCACGAGGGGCTGCAACGAGGCCACGAAGGGCAGCGAGGGGGCCATGAAGGGCTGCAACGGGGCCACGAAACAAAGCGAGGGGGCCACGAAGGGCTGCAACGGGGCCACGAAGGGCAGCGAGATCCCGATTCTTAGGTAATCTGTGAGGGAGTCCTAAGCGTGAGCGCGACTCCTGGGTGCCTGGGTGTCGGGAGCGCGGCGCTTGAGGAAAGTGCAAGAAATTCCAACGCAAGGGCGCTATTCTCTAGTAAATTGTCAGCAAGTCTCCAGGGAGAGCGCGACTCCAGAGCGCCGGGAGAGCGATTACTGAATATATTGTAAGGAAGTGCCAAGCGAGAGCGCGATTCCTGAATAACATGCGAAGAAGTCTCGGGCAGGAGCGGGGGTCCTGGCAAAATTGTGAGGAAGTCTCAGGCGGGAGCCGTTGTTGTTGTAATCCGGGGGCCAGGGGCCCAGTTTGAGCCTCAAGACTTTCCCTGATAAAAGAAACAGGGTGCGAGCGTCGAGGGGCACACTTTGACTGAGAAAAACAAGATTCACCGCTGGGGGGGATCAACAATAATTATTCTTCAGAAATGAGACTTCAACAACAACAGCAGCAGCAAGAACAGCAAGAGTCATCATGTTAAGACTGGTCGCTCCTATCTTCCAGCGTGCCTTCAACACGCATCAAACATACAAGAAACAAAAACAAAGACAACAAAAACGTCGCCCGCCCAAACCCCTCCCGGGGCGCATCCTGGCCAGAGCTTGCAAGCGGAATCCGGCGCGAGGCGACGGGAAGCCTTCTGGAGGCCCAGCAACATCCCAAAAACCACGGAGCTCCAGCCGCGATCCCCGAAAATTTGAGCCTCGATCCTCCAAGAAATGAGAGGGGTTGCCCCGCGACCTCGAGGCGGCGAGAAGGCGCGACGAAGCCCTGCGCCAGGCCGGCCAGGGCGTCCCTCCTTGTCGTCAGGCTTTGCCGCGGCCTTGGCCGGCGCGGCGTCGGCACCCTGAGGTGTCGAAGCCGCCGCCGCCGCGCCTGAGGGGCGGCTCAGACCCAGGGTCGAGGATCGAGGATCGAGGGCGTCGAACTTCGAGGTCGTCGAGCTTCGGGGATCGAGCTTCGGGCGCCCCTCGCCCCGCTAGGGTTCCAGGGCGCCCGCGTCCTCGCGGCTGGGTCCGCCTCGAGATCCCGGCCCGAAGACACTGGGACCAGAACCCCCTTGCGCCGAGCCGTGAAAAACGCTGCTTGGTCGGCAGCGTCTCGGGTCCGAGCTGCGGTGAGGCTGCGCTGTGACGCATGCGAAGCAAACTGAGGCATTGGCAGGAGAAGGCAGGAGGGGGAAAGGGGGGTCCGTGGGACGGCCAAAGCACCCTCAGAACGTGAAGCGCCTTCGGGTTCTGCCCAGAGGCAGGCTCACGTGCTCGTCGCAGCCAGCGCGGGGGGGGGGGCAGGTCAGGACCGCGAAGCCATGGCTGTGAAAAGCATGGCGAAAGATATGCGGCTGCGTTCGGCCTCAGGGGGGGGGCCTCTTGCTGGGCCTAGGTCGGGCATGTCCTCCTACAGGCGGATTTAGAAGGAGATATATATATATATATATACATATACAAATATACATATATATATATATAAAAACAGTCAACAAAAAAACGCCGGCCCCCTTGCGGGGCCATCAGGCTGCGAGGATTAGGCTAGCTGCTCCCTGCACCAGTTCCAGTTTCGGGTTTCCAATGTTACAATATTGCTTCTGCCTCTTACTTTAAATTGTTACTGTCCGCGCGAGGGGTGGGGCCGAAAAGGGTCCTGAGTACCCTAACTCGGGGGGGGTCTCAGAATTTCTTGGGGGGCCGTGGGACACTTAAAAATACTTAGGATTCGCGTCCCCGACGGAATAATCCCTTGCAAATTACTGTATGTTCGCGCCCCCGAGGCCAAGATCCAGTGTAAATTACACTGCATTCGCCCCCCCCCCCCAAGAGGTCTCCAAGACGCCCCAAGAGGCCTCCAAGAGGTCCTCCAGAAGGACCCGAAGAGATCAAAATCATTGACTTTCCTAAGGCCTTTGACGGATTTTGGCATTTGCTCTTTTTCGGCATTCCGACAGCTCAAGACGGCCCAAGAGGCCCCCAAGATCGCCCCAAGATCGCCCACGAGGCCTCCAAGATGTCCCCATGACGGCCCAAGAGGCCCCCAAGACGGCCCCAAGATGCCCCAAGATGGCCTCCAAGAAAGATGCCCTCAAGATGCCTCCAAGGCGGCCCAAGATGCACCCAAGACGGCCCAAGAGGCCCCCAAGAGGCCTCCAAGACGGCCCAAGAGGCCTCCAAGAGATCCTCCAGGAAGACCCGAAGAGATCAAAATCACAGAGTTTCCTAAGGATTTTGAAGGATGTTGGCATTTGCTCTTGTTCGGCGTTCCGACGGCTCAAGACGGCCCAAAAGGCTCCCAAGATGGCCGCATGACGGCCCAAGAGGTCCCCAAGACGGCGACCTCCAAGACGCCCAAGATACTCTCCAAGACGGCCCTGAAGCGCCCCAAGAGAGCCCCAAGTCGGTTCAGAGAGGCCCCCTAAGACGGCTTCCGACGGTGTCAGACGGGCCGGGAACGCCCTAAGACGGCCAAAGAGGCCTCCAAGAAGCCCCCACAGGCCCCCAAGAAGCTCCCAAGAGGCCCAGGGAGGCTCCCAAGAGGCCTCCAAAAGGCCCCCAGGAAGCTCCGCAGAGGCCTCCCAAGAGGCCTCGCAAGACAGTTCCCAAGAAGTCTCTTCCTCCTCCTCCTCCTCCTCCTCCTCCTCCTCCTCCTCCTCCTCCTCCTCCTCCTCCTCCTCCTCCTCCTCCTCCTCCTTCCCCATCATCCTCATCCTCATCCTCATCCTCATCCTCATCCTCATCCTAATCATCATCCTCCTCCCTCTCCTGATCCTCCTCCTATTGCTCCGCCACACGTTCCCCGAAGGCTTTCCAAACCGACTCGGGGAACAACTGGCCCGATGGCTTGGCCAAGCTCTAGCCCAGCTGTCGGCCACATAGGCGCTTCCAAAGGAGCAGGGGGCGGCGCTGATTCGCCGTAGGCGTCTTCGATCCGCCGCCCCTGTTGATTCATCACAGGGGTGCCTGGCGTGCTAGAATTCTTCGCTTACTCCCCCTGGGGTTTCAGCCCGTCCCGCCAGCGATGCGTAACAGGTGGTTGCAAAGGGTTTTTCAGCTCCAGACGGCTCCAAGATGGCCTACAAGACGGTCAAGATGGCCCAGGATGGCCTCCAAGTTCGTCCAAGATGGTCCAAGATGGCCTCGAAGACGGCCCAAGAGAGTCCTATATGCCTCCAAGTTCGCACAAGAATCACCTAAGACGGCCCAAGACGGCGCAAGAGGCCTCCTAGAGACCTCCAAGACGGCCCAAGAGGCCTCCAAGACGGCCCAAGAGGCCTCCAAGAAGTCCTCAATGCCGTCACGAAGAGATCAAATTCGCCGGCCCAACGGGCCAGGGCGTGCTAAGATCTCCGGTAACTGGTTAACAGTATTAACAGTATTTCTAGTTCGCGCGCGCGGGGCGGCCCCTGGGGGTCCCCCGGCGAAAAGTACCCCGACCAACGCCCGGTCGCCGCCCGACCGCCGCCCGACCGCCGCCCGACCAAGTCTACTCAGAGATGGTTTTCCTTCTGGGTGCGGCCTCTCAGGCTCCCCAGAGCGCGCTCAGAGTGCCCCAAGAGGCCCCCAAGACTGCCCAAGAGGCCCCCGAGACGCCCAAAGAGCGCTCGAAGACGCCGAAGATGACCCCAAGACGGCCCAAAAGGCCCCCAAGACAGCCCAAGAGGCCTCCAAGACGCCCCAAGAGCCTTCCAAGAGGCCTCCGAAGAGAGCCCCAAGAGGCCAAAATCGTTGATTTTCATTGGTTTTTTCGATGTTTTTTGTGTTCTGGCTTTTTCGGCTTCCGGACGCTCCAAGACGGCCCAAGAGGCCCCCAAGACCGCTCCAAGACGGCCCACGAAGCTCCCAAGACGGCGCCGAAACGACCCAAGAGAGCCCTCAAGACGGCCCAAGTGCCGCCCAAGACGGACCAAGAGGCCCCAAGACGGGCCCAAGAGGGACTCAGGAGGGATACCGAGAACTCAAAAATGGAGCCCTCCGTCCCAGAAGGCGCCCAGGAGGTCCCAAAGAGGCCCCAAGAGGCCTCCAAGAGGCCCCAAGATGTCGCCAAGAGGCCCCAGGAGACTCCCAGGAGGCCCAAAAGAAGCCCCAGAAGGCTTCAAACATGTCTCCCAGGCGCCCCCGAACGGCCTCTCAACAGACCCCAAGAGGCCCCCCAAAGAAGCATCTTGACGACGACTCTATTTCGCCCCATCGAGAGACGACCCCCAGGGAACTGCTTCACCATCAAAACTCCCCACGCAACGCGTCCGAACGACACCCGCCCCCAAGAGCGCAACATGGGCAACGAACACACAGACAAAAACCAGCGATGCCATATCACGGGCCGGCGGAATGAGCGAAGCGATTCAATAATTGTGTTTCCTTAGGTTTGTGAGGGATTTGGGCTTTTGCTCCTTTTCGGCCTTCCAACGGCCCAAGACGGCTCAAGAGCTCATCAAGATCGCCCCAAGAGTGCCCAAGAAGCCTCCTAAATGACCCCAGGACGATCCAAGAGGCCCCCAAGATGGCCCAAAGAGGGCCCAAAGACGGCCCAAGAGGCCTCCGAGACCCCCAAGATGGCCTCGAAGACGGCGAAGATGGCCCCAAGAGAGCCCAAGAGGGCCCCCAGATGTCTCCAAGACGACCCAAGATGCACCCGAGACTGCCCAAGATGATCTCAAGATGGCCCAAGACCTCCCAACGCGCCCCAAAAGGCCGCCAAAACGTCTCAAGAGAGCCCGAAGAGGCCCCAAAAGAGAGCCCCAAGAGGCGAGCATCATTGATTTTCCGTGGCTTGTGTTTTTGAAGGATTTGGGATTTGCTCATTTTCGGTCTTCCGACGGCTCAAGATGGCCCAAGAGGCCAGCAAGATCGCCCCAAGAGCGCCCAAGAAGACTCCAAGACTGCTCCAGGACGCCCCAAGATGCCCCCAAGATGGCCCAAAGAGGGCCCAAAGACCGCCCAAGAGGCCTCCAACATCGCCCCAAGAGCGCCTAAGAGGCATCCAAGATGGCCCCATGACAGCCCAAGAGACCCCCGGGAGGGCCCCAACAAGACTCCAAGACGGCCCAGAAGGCTCCCAAGACGCCCAAGATGGCATCCAAGACGGACAAGATGACCTCCAAGATGCCTCTAAGACGGCCAAGAAGGGCTCCAAGACGGCGAAGATGACCCCAAGATGCACCCAAGACGGCCCCAAATGGCCTGAAGATGGCCTTAGACTGCCCAGAAGGCCCGCCCGCCAGAGGCCTCCAAGACAGCCCAAGAGCCCTCCCAGACGTCCTCCAGGAAACCCGAAAGCTCGTAAACCACCTGGTCCGATAGCTCGCCAGACTCCGTGTTCCCCGAAAGCTTTCGAAACCCACTCGGGGAACGCGTGGCCCGATAGCTTGGCCAAGCTCAAACCCAACTTTAGGCCACGCATGCGCTTCCAAAAAGGCAGGGGGCGGCGGTGATTCGCCGCAGGCGTCTTCGATAACACCAACGTTTCAATATGCCCTGATGACTCCTATCCGCCCCTGCATGCTGTTCCCAGATGCGCCAAGGCAGCGCCGAGACACACCGACGCGACCCTGTTATTTCCCGTTATGATAGAGCGGGGGCCGGCGGCAGGGGGCGACGTCCTCGCGGTTATACAAAGAGTCGAAAAAATCGAAAAACCGTCACGAGACTATTTGTGACCATTCTTGAACATTCCTCCTGTAGGGGGACATGCCCGACTCAATGCTGGGCCCCAAGAGCACCAGTGAACAGCTCGGTACGACAAGCTGGCCCCGGGAAATATAGAAGTCCAGGCCTCCAGGGCTCCACGGTGCAACACGATGTCGACGTCTGGTGACCTCCCGCGAGATCCGGGCGTCGCCTTCTTGTTCACAGCGGGCATTTTCGCTTCCGTTTCGAGCCCCAGGGCCCCCACGGACCGATCCGCTCAGAACTGCCGCGGGAAGGAAGGGTCGAGGGCTCGGATCGTGATTCCCTTCGATGTTGCATCTGTCGTGATTCTATTCGATGTTGCATCTTTCGACGACGTCAGGTCTGTGGGCCTCGCCACGCAGAGAACTCGCGCTCGCGCCCTCGGTTTTCTCCGAATGTCGTTGCCGATGACTTCTCGTTGCGTTTTGGGGGCCTCCCAGCGCGCCCTCGTTCGTCTGAGGCGCACCCCGTTAGAGGGCTGGAGCGCGGAAAAGTGAAACTGAAGGGGCCCTGGGACACACAAATTAATACAAACAAATAAAAAGACTCCCTAAGTTTGTGTCTTCCCCCCCACTTCCTATATTTTCCCATATTTTCTCGGGAATCGACGATTAATTGTGTCTGTGTGGTTCTTCTCCTCCTGAGAAACGGCCGCATGCAGATGAGCTGCCAGAAAGCAACGACTTCCGAAAACAGCAACAGCACAAACGACACGACACGTCGACTTTTCTGGACTGAGGCGAATGCCCCCAACATGTTGAGATCTTCTGGAAGCGGCTCTGGTCGGAGGGATTCCTACAGTCGCACCAACATCGAGATCGAGACCACTGCCAAGAGCACGAACAAGACAAGGCGCGCATGCCGCCCCTGCTTAGGCGCTGAGGAATGATCATGGCCCAAGAGGAGGAGGGTGTGGGTGGAGAAGAAGGCTGTGAAGCAAAGACGGAACCAGATCACCAGGCCGCGCCTGATCGTCGAGGGTGCCGAGGTGCTGGGCGTCTGGAGTCTGAAAGCGACCGAGCGTGGCACAAGCAACCGGCGGGACTCACTAGATCTTCTGGCGGACGTCACACAGGCAAAAGAGGACACTGGCAGGCGCCACTGGGCACCATTATGCTGGGGATCCTCAGCCCCAAACCCTGGCTTTTCCAGGCCGACAAAATACACAAAGAGTGCCACAAAGGTCCCAGGACTCCAAGCCAGCGTTGCCCAATCTGATTTCTCAGAAGTAGCACTTTGCCTGGCACTCAATGTTGGCGAGGCCAGGAGGGAGGAGAGGGGAACTGTGCTCCGCAACGCCCATCAAGAACCCACCAAATCAGAATTAGTCGACGTCGACTCGCCCACTGATCCAACAGTGAACCTGCGCAAAACCGAAGCTCGACAAGACCCCCACTATCAAGTCACGCCCGACGAGCCACTACATCATGAAAGCCTCAAGCATGAGAGATTGAACTTACCCAAAAGCGTGGAAAAATGCACAACCAGAGCGGAAAACAGACGTCGAAGGCCTCTTCTAATGATCGTCTGCACGCCGTTCTCGAGCCGGACGCCTCTTCTTATGGTCGGCACCGACGGCGCGGACACGAACGCCGCCGCTTTCAGGCCAAGCGCCACAGCGCCTCCGAGAACGAGGAAAACGGTGCCATGCCGGCTGCGGCCGCCCATGTGCGCGAGGCCCTCGGGCGGGCGTTTCTGCAAATGCTTTGCTGCCCCAATGCGCCCTCCATTCGCGGAGGCGGCTGGGGGGTCTGCTCCTGATGGGCACAAGTAAATCCAGTCAGGAGGGGAAAGGGACAAAGCAAAGTCGGCCTCCAATCCCCATCTGGAAAAAAGCGACACCAACGCTACAGGCGCCCATCTGGAGAAGGCGGCCCGTGCACGATGGTGTCGTTTGTTCCCAACGGCCGGAACCAATGATGCCCCA